TCCTTAACCTTTGATCAAAAGGTTACATTCTGAATTGTGATATTTTTCTATTTTGGGGCATAGATTGTCTGTGAATTGCCTGCTGGTACCAACTGGAACTTTGATGTGCACTGGTATCCAAAGATACCTGGAGTAATATCAGCATCTTCTTTTGATGGCAAAATTGGCATGTATAACATCGAGGTGTGACCTTGTCCAAATTATCTTTCCTATCATACTATGTTTTTGTTAAACAAAAATTTCTTGGCAGTTTGGTGTGTTTAGGTTAGCACTTGTTCTGTTTAACTTCTCACCTTTATTCTGCAGGGTTGCAGCCGATACGGTGTTGGGGAGATTGATTTTGGTGCAGGTAATTCATCTAACAGAACCATTCAATTGCTGGAGTTGATTTGGCATTCTTCTATTTGGTTCCACGGAGCAACCCATTGTTCAACTTTTGTCATAATGTGACAGTTCTATTGGCAGTCTAGGAGAAAGAAATAGGATCGATGACTGCCAATAGAGGCAGATGTGGGCTGCCTCTCCTAGGGATTCAAATAATAGTGCTATAGTTGTATAGTGGCCGCTATGTAGTGGTATGGCCACTGTCCGGCACCGTAAATCCCGAAATAGCAGCTTGAACTAAAATACATCAATGGGGGTGGTTAATGGCTGTGAAATAGTGGGGTAATGGAGGATACTGGTAATAACGGTATATTATTTCTGTTATTACCCAATTTTTTACTAAAAACTTTCCATCTTGAGAAGCAAAGCACAAAACAGAGGAAAGTAGATCAACAAAACAAAAAACGAGTAAAGCAGATCGTAAAAAGGTTCAATTAGTTCTCAATTCTTTCTGAATAAATGACAGAAAGCTATTTTGATAAAAAGACTGATAAAAAAAAAATAAAGGGCAGCAAGCTTCGTGCTTGTTAGTTGTGAGATTCAGATGATTTAGGGAAAGAAAATTGGTCCAAAATCTTGGCAAAATTATTGCAAGAGGAACTCAGTGATGCCTTGGATAATTTTGGTAGGAAGCAATTTAGTTAAAACTTTAAGGAAATTTAAACAAATATTTTAGGGAAAAGTTAGGGATTTTTTGACGAAAAAGAAGCCATCTGCAACTATAAATTGGTATTTGGAATGTTGTGAGTTTAGCTGGCCGTTTGGGTCATGGGTTGGTGGGTGGGTTGTAGAATGTATGGTCATGGGTGGATTTTTTTACTTAAATGCGGATATAGATAATTTTATTATTTTTAATTTATTAATTTTTATAATAATTATAATTTAGTGTAACAATTAGTTTTAATAATGTATTGAAATATTTTTCACTTTGTGTAAGTGTTTTATTAAAATTGATTAGGAAGAACTTTTTTAAACTTGAAGAAATGTGAAATTGCATGAAAATTAATTAAACTTAAATGGTTAAATATAGGAGAAATGAGAATATTGCTCTGTTAATAGAAAATTCATAAATAAAAAGGATTTTAATAATTAAAATATGTTGCTATAATGATAAAAAAATGTGTTCTCATGTAAATAAAAATCCATGTGTCACTAACCACTCGAACTCATCTTCAATGATTTTTTGTAAATATGATTACTATGGTTATGTTTTAACATGAGCTGTGTGAATTTGGAAAAGAAAATTCATGTCTGCAATGACTGTTATACCATTAGTTATGTCTGAGACCGCGATAAACACAACTGTGAAGGCACTTTAAATCCCTGGTCTCTGCTTAATTAGTTTTTACTGTATTGCTTATAGGTTAAATATACTTCCATTTTACATTGTCTTTCTAATTATTTCAATGACTCTTTATGCAGTGTCTTTGAGAGCTCCAAAATGGTACAAACGTTCCGTTGGGGCATCTTTTGGGTTTGGAGGAAAAGTTGTCTCATTTCGCCCTCGGATAGGTACTTCTCCATCATCAGAGGTAAATATATCAGCAAGCTTTGTTAAAACATAACAACAGTAATAATTGGAATATGAAAGCCAATTCTTTCTTTTTGGGATCTTATGGTCCTGTATACTCTGTTCAGGTTTTCTTGCACAACTTAGCTTCCGAAGAAAGTCTGGTTAGTCGTTCATCGGACTTTGAATCTGCGATCCAAAATGGAGACAGGTCTTTGCTAAGGGCTCTATGTGAAAAGAAATCTCAAGAGTCTGAGTATGTCATCCATACTAAGAAATTTTAATTATTTTTTCTTGTCTTTTTTCAAGTAATTTCTTTTACTTATTCCACGATTCATTGGGAATTCTGTGCAGATCTCATCAGGATCTTGAAACATGGGGCTTCTTAAAGGTGATGTTTGAAGATGATGGAACAGCTAGGACAAAGTTGCTCATGCATCTAGGTTTTTGCGCACCTGAAGAAGAAAAAGGTACTGTACAAGATGACCTCCATCAGAGTGTAAATGATATTACCCTTGAGGAAAAAGTGGGCTATGAGAAAGAAGCTCCCCTATTTGCTGCTGATAATGGGGAGGATTTCTTCAACAATCTTCCTAGTCCTAAAGCTGATACACCAGTTACAACTTCTGAAAATAATTTTCATGTTGGGAGCACATTTCCTAGCACAGATCTAACACCTCAGGAATCATATGGGCTGGAGGGAAGTTCAGATCCATCATTTGATGATGCTGTTCAATGTGCCTTGGTGGTGGGTGACTATAAGGGAGCGGTTGCACAATGCATTGCAGCAAATAAGATGGCTGATGCATTAGTTATTGCACATGTTGGCGGTGCTTCCTTGTGGGAGAGCACACGTGATCAGTTTCTTAAGATGAGTCATTCACCACACCTGAAGGTGAATTCAACTCTTATATTTGTTTACCCCTAAATGATTAGTTTCTTGGAAAAGGAATTTGAGAGAGTAATTAGTTTCGTGGTTTGCATTTCTCATTGGTTGCAAGATTTACTGATTGGTTTGTTGAGTGAAATTATGTGTTAATTATGCTCTTTATCTTTAGGTTGTCTCTGTAATGCTGAACAATGATCTCATGAGTTTTGTCAACGGGAGGCCTTTGAAACTATGGAAAGAAACACTTGCACTCCTCTGTACAGTACATATTTTGGAACTAATTTTAGATTTATAGTGCTCTAGCAGCAAATTATTTATGGACTTGTCATATTTGATGAGCAGTTTGCCCAAAGAGAGGAATGGACTATACTTTGTGATACGCTTGCTTCCAAACTAATTGCTTCTGGTAATACTCTGGAAGCAACTCTTTGTTATATATGTGCCGGAAATATTGATAAAACAGTGGAGATTTGGTCAAGGTGCCTGACAACTGAACATGATGGGAAATCTTATGTTGATCTTCTCCAGGTAAGTTGGCAATTCGTCGAAACACATTTCAAGCGTAAGCTGTCTGGCCAGAAATCCAACAATAGATATTTGTTTTCTAGAATTTGATGGAAAAGACCATTGTCCTTGCTTTGGCAACTGGCCAGAAGCGATATAGTTCATCTCTGTGCAAACTTGTTGAGAAATATGCTGAAATTTTGGCTAGTCAAGGGCTTCTAACAACAACAATGGAGTACTTGAAACTTTTGGAGTCTGATGAACTGTCACCTGAGCTTGTGATCTTAAAAGATCGTATTGCACTTTCAACAGAACCTGGTATGTTCTTGGGAGTTGGGACATATTATGCTGGCTGTAGTGCTGTTACGTATGGGTTTTTTAATTTGGTAGAAAATGGTTCTCAGCTCATGTAATAAGGATTTAGGAGTTCTAAATCTGTGATGCTCTGAGAACTTTTTCTGGCCAGTTTCTTGGGTATTTTACAGCTGGTTTTCTCGCATACAATATTTACGAAGACTAACATGAAATTTAGGTTACTCAAGTCTGAGCTATGTTTTCTGCTTCGCAATATGTTCTTGTTCAGGATGTACTTATTTATTTATTATTTATTTGTTTATTTTGCAGAGAAAGAAACTAAATCTATGGTTTTTGATAGCTCTCATCTAGCAAGTGAATCGGTCTTTGAACCTACACCACAGATATATCCGGTGCTTTGTCTTTGACTTCTATTTTATGTGTCTATTGAATGGTCCTTGATAATTGTTGTGATGTTGTGAATGACTATTTTTTGTTACTTTTTGTAATTGATTAGGAGTCGGCTACATCACAAATTCAGCCAGGTATACGCAGTAGTGCTTATGATGAAAATTATCAGCGTTCTTTCTCTCAGTATGGAGGATATGCACCACCTCCCTCATATCAACCTCAACCACTGGCGCCTGTAAATACTTTTGTTCCAACCCAAGCTCCTCATGTTACCCAGGTATGCTGTAATGGGTTTCTTTCTGTGCATAGCAGTCTATTTGATGGTAGATTTAAGTGATGGAATAATATTTCTCTTCTGATTTTACTGTTAATCTGTCTTGGTATCTTAACGCCTAGAACAATTTGGTTCAAGTAATATCTTAATGATGACAGTATGGTCAGCTTATTACTAGCAAGAGATTGCTATAAGTTGTTTTGGCGGGGCATCTTTGGGTTTGCAATTAATCTTTGTTAACTTAGCATTTTTTACTGTACAAACAACCTTCTATTGTTGCTATCCATAAAACCCAGCAGTGATGAGAGAAAATTGGACAATCTTTCTCATTTTTCTAGCTTTTTAGTTTCTTATATGCGTGATATTTTCATTTATAATTTGATGCTTGACTAAATATTTTTTTTCCTTCCAGGCAAATTTCACTCCATCCCCTGGCACCACTCAGCCTGCTGTTAAACCCTTCGTTCCTGCAAATCCTCCTGGTCTAAGAAATGCAGATAAATACCAGCAGCTAACCTTGGGTTCTCATTTATATCCTGTCTGTATAGCTATAGCTGCCAACTAATTCATGTTCAATGCCATAGTTTTCATCTATTTCTGGTATACTAAATGATTTTTGCATGCCTTTCAGGGTGGTGCCAACCCTACTTATCCTGTACCCCAAGTAACTGGTTCACCTGCACCTGTCCCATCATAAATTGGACCAGTTCCTGGCCCCCAAATGCCCTAATTTGTAGGTCCCACCCCAACACCAAGGGGATTTATGCCAGTGACTGACACATCCGTCGTTCAAAGGCCTGGGATGACCCCAGTGCAATCGGGCAACCCTACACAATCGGCATCAATACAACCAGCTGCAGCACCTGCTGCACCCCCACCAACTGTGCAGACTGCTGACACTTCAAATGTACCTGGTAATTGCTAGTTTCTTGGCTTCAAATAATGTTACTATGTCATGTCTGTTTATTGGATTTTGTAGTTCTCACCGGCCCAATGCTTTGTCCGACTTTCTTGGATTATTCCAGAATGACAGTTTACTTTCTGAAAATTTGATTAGTGGTTTTACATCATCACCGTTTACAAGAATTTTTGCAAAACAAAATGCATTGTTTTAAAAATGATGATTGAGGTGAATGAGGTTGAAGGTATACTTCATCACATCATAATTTCCCAAATAAAGATCAATCAAATGTGTGCTTGTTTCCAAAATAATATCTATTGATGCATTTCTGCAAACTAATAGATGAAGAAATATAGATGTTTTATATATTGCAATGACTTGTTTGGTTTTCAGCCCACCTGAAACCTGTAATCACGACCTTAACTAGACTTTTCAACGAGACCTCTCAAGCACTGGGAGGATCACGTGCAAACCCAGCTAAGAGGCGTGAAATAGAAGACAATTCAAAGAAAATGGGTTCCTTATTTGCCAAGCTCAACAGTGGAGACATTTCAAAAAATGCTTCTGATAAGCTTATTCAGCTCTGCCAGTCATTGGACAATAACGATTTCGGTACAGCACTACAAATCCAGGTACAGGCGTTGTATATAATAATGTTTTGCCTGCAAGTCATGCTGCAATGTTGTTTTTACCTTTGTTTCTGGAACAGGTTCTTCTTACTACTAACGAGTGGGATGAATGCAACTTTTGGCTTGCAACCCTGAAACGGATGATTAAGACGAGGCAGAATGTAAGGTAAGTGATAAGAAAGGAAAAGAACTCCGACGTTGTCTTCATTTTTGCTCGAATACTTTTGGGGCAATGGAAGACTTAGACAAACAAACTGCATGATATATATTGGTTTTTTTGGTCCCTCATTACATAAAACTGGTAGTGATAGGTAATTGACTTTTGTTGTTTCACATTAATACTCCTTTTGAAAGAAAAGCAGGTTACTTGAAGTACATTTCAGGACATTATGTTTGATTGTTTTCCCTCCAGAAAGTAGAGTTGGCATTTTATATTAGTAATTAGAAAAGTATCAGTTTAATTTAATATAACCAATTTATTAACATTTTCAGTTTTTATAAAGTGCAATGTTCAAATTCTGAAAATTGACGGTAAATACAGAAATTTCTCAAATTTTATCTAAAATGATAAAATTCATTCTCCTCTTTAGTTGATCTAAAATCTAATTTAAAATATATAATATAACTCGCGCTTGATAGGAGTAAACTACTATCATACGCCTTTAACTTACAAATCATGCGACTTGAACCTATGACGTGAATAAGAACGGTCAAAATTTTTTATAGGTTTTGATTTGATTATATAGGGTTATTTTAAAAAATAAATAAATTGGGTTTTGTAGAGATTTATTGGGGCAAATTTTGATTAGATAAAGTGAAGAAAATAATTGTTGAACCAGGTAGCATGATTTTTACAGTATATGTTCTAGGATCTTCGGAGGACACAATGACTTCAGAAAGATGTGTAGATGATATAGCGTCTTTTTCCTAGCTGGATGTATGTTTGGAAGTCTGCTATGATCTTGCCAAAGACGTAAAGTCGTTCGGACTTCTTCAGATGTGTATTGTAACAATAACATTAGATTATAAAATAATTTTCGTCCTACTTTACATGATAATTTTTTTTATCACATTATCTGACTAAATTTGTCTACGACTAAAATTAATAGTGATAAATAAAAAGATATTCTTAAAAAAATAATGAGTCGATTTTAATCATCTATTTTGATTTATATAACGATATTAAATTTATGTAAATTTTTTTAAAAAATTACATTTTATAAGTAAATTTTAACTTTTATTATAATAATTATTTATCTATATATTAATTATCTTATCAAATTTTAATTTTCAAAATTAAGATTGAGGTAGTTAAAAATTTTGAGCCAAATACCCTTGATCATCAATACGGGAAAGATATGCCAAAATATATAGTTGGAAAGATATGCCAAAAAGCATACTTAGTCTTATGCAATTGATGAAGATATGTGTTGTTTACTTACCATTATAAACTGGAAAATGCGGTCGGTCCAATACCACTATTTTGACTTTTCTTTCTTAAATTATTAAATAACAAAATCAGAACAGTTCCCCAATCAGATCCGTCCAACCACATCAACCTGAAAGATCACAAGCGTTTACTTTGCCCAAAAACCCTAAGCACTCTTTCACTACAGCTTTTCAACAACGCGCCCAGTTCAGCGTACTCTTCAAACGATCTAGCATCCACCTTGGACCGCGTGAACTGTGGAATGAACAACCAAAATCCCGTGCCCAACACGAACCCAATCGTCAACGGTCCGGTTACCACCCACGGAGGCTGCCACCACTCTCTGAATGCCTTCTTCAAACCGATCTCCACCGTTAAACAAAACCCATGGATCAGGAAAAACCACGTCACCTCCCCGGTGGGACTCACGCGCCCCAGATAGTAAAACATCAGCTCGTGCATTACACCCGACACAACAAACGTCGAAAACACAGACGGCAAAGGAGCCCATTTTCTCCCGATCACGGAGGACCAAAATCTTAGGGTGGGTTCGTATACGGTCGGGCGTAAGATACTGGTCACCATCAAGTTCCATCTTTTGCCCCAAAAGTCTTGCAATGAGGTAGAAAGGAACGGGTTATTGAACTGCGGCTCGAGCTCTAGCCCGGAAAACGATCGAACCACGACTGCTCCGATGGCCAAAACGATTTCCAGAAAGAAATATATATGCAAAGAGTAAAGTAGCTTGATAAAAACAGGATGCATGAACTCAACGTAGTCATAGGCACACAATATAATCCCGAGAAGCAGACCCTTTACAGCATAATTAACATTAGAAGACGAAGAGATTCCTTTGTTTAATTGTGGTTTCGATGATGGGTTTTGTTGGATCTTAACTGGTAAACAAGCTAGGGTAACAAAGAGTGGGAGAGAAAGATGGGTGTTTAAAGGACCACGGTCGAAGGCAAATAACAAGAGCTTGAAATTGCCGAGCCAAACGATGAAGAAGGCGGTGAGACCGCCGAGATGGGGCGAATTTATTTTAAGAGGGAGGAAGAGAAAAAGGCAGACAAGAGGGAGGAGAAAAGTGAGTCTTTTGGTACCTTTGGGAACAATTTTGCCAATGGCATGGCAATAACAGAGAGATGTTAGAACAGTTAACCATACCTTGAAGAAGCTGTTGATTTCCTCGCCCAGCATCTCTCCTCTGTATGTGTTGCATCAATCGATTGCTTCTTGTTTGGATTGTGAGAAAATATATATATGAAAGAGAAAGAGAGTTGAATTGTTTATTTTGTTAGATTTTGGTGACGTCCAAATCAAAACATATACACAATTTGATGGCCATGAACCCGAACCCGCTGACCGATCCGATTTTAAAAAAAATTTAGGTTTGGGTTGAAGCGGGTTCAAGTTTAGGGTGAGAAATACTTTATCCGACCTGACTTGAAAAAAATATATAATTTTACCTTATATATTTATAATTAATTACAATAATACCCATCTATATATTATTCTTTTCAATTAAGTCATTATTTTTATTGAATAAAAATAATATTTTTTATTATTTCGGGTTGGATTTTTAAGTTATATATCGGGTCGGATTCGTCGGGTGAAATCTTGTTTTGGTCGGGTCGGGTCGGATCTCGGGTGAAGGATTACTTATTCTCGAGTCGGGTGGACCAAAAACCCGACCCATGCCCATCTCTATACACAATAAGCTTCAGGTTAAGTAGAAATTTCTCTTTGGAAAATCAATTCTTTGTATAATTTTGAGGAGAAAGCCACCGGTTCTTAGCAGCCAATTTAAGATATTTTATCGCTGCCAACTAATTTGAAAGATCATTATCACATCCATGAATGAATGTTTGATACATTCATTATTGTCTCATCCAACTCTATCTCATTGTTATTTATTTATTTCTAATAATTTTAATGTACATTTAGGATAAAAAATTTCATGAGATAATGCTTTAGAAAAAAATGATTTTCTTAAGATGTTAGGGGATTATTTTCTTATTTTAAGGTGAATGTTACTATGCTCCATAGAAAACACCAAAAAAACACAATGACTTTTGAAAGACGTTCAAAAGACATGATGTTTTCAGTATTTTTGGAAAGACATAATTTCATGGGCATGCATGAAACTTAGAGAAAATGTCGTGTCCTATGGGCATCTCTCGAAAGTCGTAATGTCTTCTGGGCTTCTTCTACGGAACATTGTAGTATTTATCTTAGATGAAAAAATTATTACTGTAACACCTTATATGAGAAAAATAATATTTTTAAATCATTATCTGACTAATTTTACCTATTTACCATTTATACATGAAAAATATAATCCATGAATATCTTTTTTTTTATCTGATGATAGTTTAGAAATATTAGATAAATTATATTTTATCTCTAAATTTAAGTTTAAACCTTTAATAAATCTATATATTTTTAAAATCAAGTTTTTAAACCTTTAATGTTCAATCCTGATTTTGTTTCTGGGTTTGGTCCTAGTTTTACCTGCTGATACTATCAAGATTTACTTGACATATATGCTTGCATGTGTTGCAATAACAGAAGGGAGCAATCATCAGCCTTGTTGTACCATTTTCATATATTAAGATATTCGAACAATATCTTCACAGTTGATATCTTAAAGAATATCTTCAGACATAAAAATTTTCGAAATCTCGTACTTCTTAAGAAGCCGTGATCTTTTAATAGACCTCTGACAAGTCTAACATTATTTGTCAAAGTTTTAGTCAACTAACAAGTGACTATATCAATCGAGTCTATCTATCATGTCAGTTTACGAATAACTATCATAGTTCTATGTCTGATATTAACAATAAAATCTATTATATAATTTCTCGATCAAGATCGAAAGAAAGGATAGACTTTTCCTCTTCATTGGTCGCTCTTTTACCTCCTAATGACATCAACAGTGTCATATACTTATACTAAGTTAGATAATTGCATAAATTTCAAGTAAATCTAACTACCACATGAATCATGTTAGCAAATTTCATAGTAACAAATACCGATAGAAATACTGTATATGTCCTTGTAATATAGCACAAAGTGTATTTTAGTACTTTTAAAACGAGCACAAGGATCCTAATGTTGGAAAAACAAGCACAATTATCGTTTTTGTAACAATTAATAATTTCAATTTCAATACTTGTAAGGTACAGTGGATCGAGTGAACATGCTACTTCATAATTTAAATTAATTCAGTCCATTTTTAAAAAAATTAATTCTTTCAACTGTTGTAAAACTGAAACCTTTTTGGTCATTTGGAAAGTATAAGGAACAAAACCAGGGGCTTATTGCCAATTGTTTTTGCTTGAATTGGTAACTTTGGAATAATTCTCTTATTGCCTCATTTGGGTTCACGGATTCTGATTTTAATGACCGCACTACAGTAAAATTGATATGTAGCGGCGTTTGGAAAGAAAACGCCACAAAAGTTAAACATATAGCAGCGTTTACAATCGTAGCGCCACAAATTGATACTTTAGTGGCGTTTTTACAAAAAACGCCACTATAGTGTGGTTTTTTGCGGCGTTTGTTAAAAAACGCCGCAATATATCGGTAAATTAGCGGCGTTTATACCACAAACGCCGTAATAGTGTTAATCAATAGTGGCGTTTTTTAACAAACGCCACAATAGTGTGATCAATAGTGGCGTTTTTTGTATAAACGCCGCAAAATGTTAAATATATAGTCCTCTTTTCCTCTTACCCAA